GGAGGCGGGGTCAAGGCAGCCGCGGTCTAGGGTAGCGGCGGAGGGCGGGGTCAATGCTCACGGCGGAAGTCGGGGGTCGCCACGGAGGGCGGAGTCAAGGCCCACGGCGGAGGGAGGGGTCAGAGTTCACGCGGAAGGCGGGGTCGGGGGTCGCGGCGGAGGGCTGGGGACTTGCCACCGCGCTCACGTCGGCCGCGACCCCGGGACCCCGGAACTCCCGGTCGAGGGCGCGGGCGGCCGCGAGGAGCCAAGGGCCCGCAGAGCCGGGGAGGGCGGCTCAGGTCGGTCGGGAGCGGTAGCGTCGGCACGGGGGTCGGCCGGACGCGCCTCACCTCGGACTTGGGTCCGCCGGGGCGTGGAGTCCGTGGTGCCTCCGTCTCCCCGAGCTTCGCTGCGGCTTCGCTCACTTCCGGGTTTCGGGCGCCATCTTGGGGGTCCCGCGCACTTCCGGTCATGCCGTGGGGCGGGGCCTCTGGTGGGCTGGGCCGCGGGCGTGGTCGAGGGCGGGGGCGAGCTGACTCCTGAGCCCCAAAGGGAAGGGACGCGCTCTCAGGTGTCCCCGGGTTCGAGTCCCACCCTCGCCCGCTACCGTTCCGTCCCTGGAACGAGCCTCAGTTTTCTCTGCAACATGAGCATAGAATCGAGCCAGTCTCATTTCCAGTCCTTTACGCAGGCTGTGCCTCCCCTGGTGCACTCTCACCCCTGACCCTTGAACCGCTGGAGTTCTTATGTAACCCAGATCTTGGTTCTAAATCCTTCTCCTCACAGACTTCCCTGAGACCGCCTGAACTGATCCTGGGCCCCCAGTCTCTGCCTTCAGTGCGGTGGTTTGCTCATTCATCTGTCTCCCACTGGAATAGAAGTTCTGGGAACCCCAGAATGGAAGCTGGTAATGGGGGTGGGGAAATGTCTCATCAGTACCAGGGACGACCCCCAGAAAACAAGATGCAATTGGGCAGGGCCACGGGTATCTGGGTAGTTCCCCTGCTGGCTTCTTCCATGTTGTGGGTTTTCCTTGGGGCCTGATGCAAATGATGCCAGGATTTGTGGGATTGCCAGGAAGAAGGTGGGACTTGGTGCTGGCACAGATAGCCGTTTTCCTGTGACTTGAGCCCATTATCCCCACCATTAAATCCATCAGGTAGCCTGGACCTTTCAGGCAGATCCAGTGCAGGGGCACTGGCCCCTGCCCTACAGGTTTTCAGCAATGAAAGTTGCCACCACTTCCCCAGACCTAGCTGTCACCAGCCTGAGGTCTCCTGCACCCATTCCGACCCCCAACATTAGAGCATCTCTTTTATTCATTTAATGAACTCTATGGATGCTGCTCCATGCCTGGCCAAAACTGGGCAAAGCTGAGTCCTAAAACAGGACTCAGTTCTCAGCCTTGCCCTCCATAAAGCCCCCAGTCTAGGGGAGACAGAGCCAGGGCAAGACACTCCCAGCTGCAAGAAAAGGGCTGGAGCTCAGAGAAGTGTGAAGGACATAATGCTTGAGGTATCATGGAGGGCTGCATGGAGGAGGGCTGCATGGGACTTTAAATTTCAAGTGGAAGTTTCCTTAGTCTGGTAAGGGAGATGAGTGTGTTTCAAACATGTCTGTCCTACAAAATTCAGGCCAAGGAAACCCCTTTGCCTGAACCAACAAGTACAAGGGAGCAGATGGGCAAACTGGAAAGAAGTGATTTATCCAGAATGAGCTTCACTTTGGTGTGCATACTTATAGCAATTTAGGATGTAACCTTGACTTCCAAATTCTTTTTCACAACTAATTGAAAGAAGTCAAACTGAACAAAAAAAAATGGAAAGAAACCGATTTGGGGGATAGATGGCATCAGTGGCATATTCCCAGTTCCTGACACACCAGTCTCATAACTCGTGGAACTCCATGAAAATTGAACACATGGGGCCCCTGTTCAATAGTATCAACACTTTCAATACAGGGCCTCTCTGGTGGCCTAGAGGTTTAGTCTCAGCTATCACCACGGTGGCCTGAGTTCGATCCCCGGCCAGGGAGCTGACCCACATGGTGCAGGAGACCTCTCCTGTCTCGCCCCTACTCCCCTCAGCAGTGTATTCCAGTAGATCTGCCTGTTCTGCTCCCCATTCCATCTCTGGTGAATCCTCCCACCCCCTGCATCTCTGGCCTATACCCCAGCTCTTCTACTCAAAAATAAGTAAATAAAATCTTTTTAAAAATAATCAACTTTCAATACAGCAACAGCAGAACATTAAACCAAATATGGGGGCCCCTGAGCTCAGAGCCCTAGGCACGGTCCCGCGTCACACCCTTGAAGCCTGCCCTGTCCTCACCACAGCCCAACCGACATGGGACTAGTAATACCTGTGTTTTATCTATGGGGAAGCTAAAGCAGAACTGCTCAGTGGCCCTCCGAAGGTCGCCAGGCAAGCCCAAGGGTGGGGGAGGTGCAGGGGCTGGACTCAGCCTCTGCTACATCCACCTCAGGAAACCACAATGTCTGTATGGGTAATTTTGCCTGAAGTGGGGGCACTTTGCCCAGGCTAGGGTAGTAAACTAGTCATCTCAGCCTGGAGGAATCTGCCAAATCTGGGGATGTCTAGGGAATTAGTCAGATTAGGGAATTTCCAAGGAATTGCAAGAGGCAGCAGAGGAAAGCAGAAAGGACACAGCTTAAGCTGGAGGCTCAGGCCAGACCCCTGGGGCAGTTCTACTTACATGCTGTGTGACCCCTGGAAAGTTACATAACCTCTCTGTGCCTCAAATGGGAGTGACAATACAGTAGCTGCCTCATAGATGATTTGGTTAGCTAAATGAGCAATGCCTAGTATTTAGCCTTGTGAATATATCCAGATGCCCCTAGGAGACATCCACAAGGTCACCTAAGTCAGCATTCAGTGATCATGGTGAGGGTGAAGACTGAGGTTCCAGGTCCAGAGAGAAGGGATTTTCACAACATAGACAGAGAAGGGGGTAGGGGCCCTGAACAACTCAGGCTGCAGAGGGGACCCCTCAGGGGTGGGAGAGAGGAAACAACTGGTGCTCAGATGTGCTCTCTCTTCCAGTCGGGACAGAGCTCACAGAAAGCCAGGCATGTCTGATAAGGCTTAGTTTGATGTCAAAGACCTTCCTCTCCCAAGCCCTCCCCGTGCCCCCATTACATGCACGGAGGGCACTGGAGAACTTGGGGACTTAGGGCTGCCAGATACCAGAGGACACATGGTTAAACATGAATTCCTGGTACACAAGAATAACTTGTTAGTGTAAATTTGTCTCATGCAATAGTAGACAATCTACTTCTACTAAAGAAGCGTGTCCTCTGTCTATCTGGAATTCAAGCCGAACTGGGATCCCTGCATTTTCACTGGTGAAATGAAGCAACCCAATGTGGGGAAACTGCAGAGAAATGGGTCACAGAACCAAGGCCAGGAAGAGACCCTCTTTCTGAGCCTCAGTGTTCCCGCCTGCCACCTGGGTTTGGTCATAGCACTAACACGCAAGCAGGAGAGGGCGCGGGCAAGGGAAAGCAGAGGGGCAACTCTGGTTTCAGTTATTTCAGCCAGCAGGAACCCGCAGGCAGGCCTGACGGTCATCTTGGGCTGTGCCTAGTTTCCCAGTCTGGGAGGTGCCACCGAAAAGCTACCCACCAAGCCTTGGTTTCCCTCCTGGGAATCACTATCCTGAAGTTGTCCCTCCTTCCAGCCTCAGTTTCCCTCTGGGTGTCTCCTTCTGGGGCTGTGCCCATCTTGCGTTCAGGGACACTGAGGCAGGTGCCCTGGGAGAAGGAGCCTGGGGTGTGGCAAGGGGCCGCAGTCCACATTCCCAGACCTGGGCAGGTGAGGCAGGCAGGTGGGCCAGCCTGGCCCAGCCCAACTGGGTGGGAAGCAACCACTTCCTGTTTCTCCACATTCTGGAAAGCCCCAGTGTTCCCCAGCAGCAGGAGCACCTCCCCTCCCTGCCGCCTGCCTGCTGGGTCTAGGTCCCCACTTCTCCTTTCCCCACCTGCTTCCCCTCAGTGCCCCCAGCCCATGGCTCAGCTCCTGCCTCCCCACCACCCTCTCCTCCTCGCCTTACTCTCCTGACCCTTCTCCAGAGTCTCTCCTTTCTCTCCCACTCACAACCCTCTCAGTCCCTCCCCACTGCACAGGCAGGGACACTGAGCCGGGAGCAGCAGGGCCCTCCCAGCTCCCACAAGGCTGCGTCTGTGCCACACCGCCTCTCCCCCCACTTTGCTTCTTCACACTCTCTCCTCTCTCTCTTTGTCTCTCTTCTCTCTTTCTCTGCCTCTGTGTGTCTCTGTCTCCTTGTGTCTGCCGTCTCTCAAATTTTTTCTCTCTTTTGTGTCTCTCTGACTATCTGTATCTTGGTCTCTCTCCATCCCTCTGTCTCCCTCTCTCCTAGACTCTGTGTCTTGTTCCGTGTTCCTCTGTGGACCTCTCTGTGTCTTTCTACCGCCAGGCTTGCTGTCCTTCAGTCCCTCTGTCTCCCACCCCTGCTTTTCTTTCACACCCCCACCCCCAGTTCCCGACCCCATCCAGCCACCAGCCTTCCCTATTCCCAGACCCACCTGTCACTTGCTCCAGGTCTCCTGGGCAGTGTTAGCTGGCAGCTTCCATGGCCCGTCTCCCTCAGCTCCCTCCAGCCAGCCCGAGCCCAGAATGAGATTCAGCCCAGCCCAGCCAGGGCTGCCTCTGAGCCAGGACGACTTCAGGGAACAGCAGACCTGCCCAACTGGTTTGAGATCCACCCCACATGGGCTTTCCTGGCTTCCCGCCTCTGCACTAAAGCTAGGACACCAGGGCCCAAGGAGTTAAATAATTCCTGACCCAGTATACCCCAGGCCAAGGCAGGGTGTTGGGGAGCAGGGACAAGGAAAAGGAAGATCAGCAGTGTTTGTTCCACCCCAGAACAGAATGACTGTCAAGGAGGGGCAAAACCCTCCAAAGACCCAGAGGAAGGCAAGCACCCAGGGAACATGAGTGAGGGTCCCCGCGGGCAGTGAGGCTGGGCAGCAGAGGGCAGGACCGCTAGAGGCTTTTATTTTGGGCAGCATTGGGGAAATATCTAAGGGTGGGGTGGAGGTCCTTTGATGTGGCCACATGTGCTGGATGGGCCCGGCAAGGGAGCACATCTCTGAAGCCCATCCCGTGGCAAGAAAAGGCAGGAGAAGGCCAAGCTGCTGCCTCAAAGCTGGAAGAAAAAAACAAACTTCGAATTTCCTTCTATCAAGGGCTGACAGTGAGCCAAGCTCAAGCTGGGTAACAGCTGGGGGAGTGACAAGGACCCCCAGGAGGCCCCCTCACTCAGTACTCAGCATCGGGGGACTAAGCTTTGGGTTGTCCTGCGGCAATGGTGAACCACAGGAGGACTGAGAACTACAGGAGAGGCAGCCAGGGCAGGCGCCTAGAACCAGAGGAAGGAGCCCAGGCTGACTCTGGCTTTGGGACATGCATTCATCCAAAAAGAACTTTCTGGGCCTCCCTGGTGGCGCAAGGGGTTGGGACACAACGTATGAGGCTGTCCACAGCCTCTGCAGCGCAAGTTCGATCCCCGGCCAGGGAGCAGCCTACCTGGCGCAGCAGACCTCTCCTGTCTTGCCTGCTGCTCCCCTCAGCAGTGTATTTCGATCAATCTGCCTGTTCTGCTCCCTGCTCTGTCTCTGGTGAATCCTCTCACCCCCCGCACCTCTGGCCTGTACCTCAGCTCTTGTATGCATAAATAAATAAATAAATAAATAAATCTTTAAAAAAAAAAAAAAAAAAAAACTTTCTGGGTGCCTCCCAGCCTGACCCTACTGGGGAAACAGGAGGCAACAGAGCATGGCCCACAGTGCTCCACCTCAGAGGAGCAAGAAACCTGCAGCACAAGGCGCGGCTGTATAGGCCCTTCACAACAAGAGTCCTGAGACATGAGTGGCCTGCAGGGATCCACGGAGCTAAGTCCCCACGCCCCATCTCCCTGGGTGCAGACGGCGGCCAGCCCCAAGTGCTGATGTCACCTGCACTGGGACTTTCTGAATCTTCACCTTGGATCTGCCCAGTCCCACAGGGAAACTCCAGGGCAGCCAGGGCCCAGCTGACTCACTTGCAGGCCCCAGTAGCATGCAAGGTGCCCGTTTCCAGAGGGCTGTCCGTGGCATTTGGAGAAGTTCATGGAATCCTACCACCGTCTATCCCCTCCCGCAGACTTAGAAAGAACTCCCCAACGCGGGGAGACGTTGGCATCAAAATCTTCAGCGAAAGAGTAAGAATGATGGTTCCAACTGGTGAAAAAAAAAAAAAAAAAAAAAGAGGAGGTTGTTGGAGCCATCCATTCCGGGGTGTTTTCTCACCCTGTTGGCCATCTCATGCCCCAGGACTGCGAGCTTCTCTGGCAAAGTGGAAGTAAAGACGGTGTGCATGGGGCCCGGGACTTCCTGACTCTGCCACCTAGTGGCTATGTGATCTCAGACAAGCACTTAACCTCTCTGTGCCCCTGTGCCACAGGGATAATGGTCATGCACTGATCAGAGGGCTTTCATGACAACTTGGCATTTGGAGCCAGGTTTGGGATAGGCTGAGGACTTTATGGTAAATGTTTTTTGTTTTTTTTTTTTTAAAGATTTATTTATTTATTTATACAGGCACTGGGTACAGTCAGAAGCGCGGGAGGGTGAGAGAATTCACCAGAGCCAGAGCGGGGAGCAGAGCAGGCAGAAGGACTGAAGGACACTGCTGAGGGGAGCAGCGGGCGGCAGGAGAGGTCTGCGCACCATGTGGGACCCTCCTTCGGTGACCAGGGAGCAGCTGGGGATCGAACTGGCGCTGCAGAGGCTGCGGGCAGCTTCGCAGCCCAGCGCTCAACTGCTGCGCCACCGGGGAGGCCCATATGGTAAAATGTTTTTAAATATTCATAAAGTTTCCATAAAGTTGATGAATGGATAAACAAAATGTCCATCCCCACACAGGAACATCACTGGCCATGAAAAGGGGGCAGCTCTGACACTCGCCACCACGGGGAGGGACCCTGAACATATGACCATCAGGGAGAGAAGCCAGACACGCGAGACCACATGGTATGAGTCCACTGACAAGGAACGTCCAGACAGACACAGCCATGGACAGGCAGTGGGTTTGTGGTGCCAGGGGCTGGGGAGGGGTTGAGAGTGACTGCTGTTGGGGACCTGATCTTTCTCAGGGGTGATGAAAATGTTTTGAAACTGGGGGCCTCCCTGGTGGCCTAGGGGTTAAGTCTCAGCGCTATCACCACCTTGGCCTGAGTTCCATCCCTGACCAGGGAGCTACCCACATGGCGCAGCAGACCTCTCCTGTCTCCCCGCTGCTGCCCTCAGCAGTGTATTTCAGTGGATACACCTGTTCTACTCCCCCACTCTGTCTCTGGTGAATCCTCTCACCCCCCAACCCCTCACCTCTGGCTCCCTGGCAGAGGATGGAACTCAGACCCTTGTGGTGATAGTGCTGAGACTTAACCCCAGGCCATCAGGGAGGTCTCTAAACCTATTTTTTTTTTTTTTATTCAAAGTATGAGTCCTGACCCATGTCCTCACGCCCCAGCATTTTCCCTTGCAGGGCCTCCACTCCCTGGGGATGAAGCCCACCCGGCCAGCCCTCTCAGCTTGCTGAGCCCACTGTCCAACCCCAAAACCCCCTGGATGAGTCTTATCTCCCAAATTGGTTCGATTCTTTTGGTTATAGTGACAGAAACCAAAACGGACTTTTTTTAATAGGGGATTTTTTGCTCATGGAACTGAAAGATTTGGGGATAGATGGATAGATCTAACTCATGGTTTTTACCCTTCGCCACTGCTGACATTTGGGGCCAGACAATTCTTTGAATTGAGCAGTGGTACTAGACATGGTGGGGGCAGGGTTAAACATCACCCCTGATCCACCCACTTGATACCAAGAGGGTATACCACATAGCCCAGTCTTGATGAACATAAATGTCCCCAGACTTGGCCCAATGACCTATAGGGCAGATCACTCCTGGGTGAAACCTCCTGTTTCAGGGGGCTTCAGGTTCAACTGGATTCAAGACTCTTTTTTTTTTTTAAAGATTTATTTATGCTTACGAGAGCTGGGGTACAGGCCAGGGGTGTTGTGGAGGGAGGGGGGAGTAAGAGGCTTCACCAGAGACAGAGTGGGGAACAGAACAGGCAGATTGACTGACGTACACTGCTGAGCAGAGCAGCGGGCGAGACAGGAGAGGTCTGCTGCACCATGTGGGTAGCTCCCTGGCCGGCCGGAGAATCGAACTCATGCTGCAGAGGCTGCGGAAGCTTCATAGGTTGTGTCTTAACCCCTTGTGCCACCAGGGAGGCCCCGGATTCAAGACTCTTAAACAATGTCACAAAGATTGTCCTTGTCGCCATCTCTCAGCTCTCTCATCCTCCTCCTGGGAGAGGCTTTTTTGTCCATAGCTTCTCCTGTTGTAAGGACAAAGTTGGCACCAGCAGCAGCCCCAAACTAAACCCCCCCCATCACTTTAATAGTTCCCACAAAAGACAGCACTTTGTCCCAAGAGAGGCAGCAAGAGCCCCAGGAAGGGTCTGATTGTCCTTATTGAACCAATCACTATAGTTGGGGTGGCACAGTTGTGTGGAGCTAGGGGGTATGGGAGTCAGCCCTAGGGTGTGTGGAGTCAATCAATAGGTTGACTCAATTGGAAGCAGGGGGAGAATTGGTGGATATGCCTGGCTAGTCATCCCTTTTTTTAAAATTTATTTTTGCATAGAAGAACTGGGGGGTAGGCCAGAGTGTGGGGGGTGTGGTGAGAGGATTCACCAGAGACAGAGTGTGGAACAGAACAGGCAAATTTACTGAAATACACTGCTGAGGGGAGCAGCGGGAGAGAGAGGAGGTGCTGACATCAAGTCAGCAATGCTCAATAAATACAAACAGATGTAAAATAATGAATGGATGGATGAATGAATGGCCGAGGCTGGCATGGTCCCTACAGTTAGCCTGTATAGCAAAGTCCCCACACACAGTGGCTCAAAATCACACTCGCAATTATTATGTCAGAGTTTCTGAGGGGCAGGAATCTGGATTGGGAGGAGCTGGTTCCTCTTGCAGGATTGCCTTCATGATGTTTAGGCCAAGCACTAATTGGGAGGCTTGACTAGGGAAATGTCTGCTTCCCAGCTCCCTCCGATTTTTCCAGAATATATTTCCCTGACACTGTAGAACCAAGGGCTCTGGTTTCTCAAGGGCGATTGGCTCGAGGCTGCTGGAGGCTGCCCTGGGCTGCCATGGGCTTCTTCAACCTGGCTTCTTACTTCATAAGACCCACAACAAGGGTATGTAGGTCTGTTCAGGTAATATAGAAGTTTCCAGAATGTAACCCGGCCTTGGAATGACATCCTCTGACCATAGTTTATTGGTTCCACCCACCCTTAAAGAGAGTGGATGTCACAAAAACATGACCCCTAAGAGGTGGGGACCACCTTGGGGTCTGTCCCGCACAGTCTTGGGGACCACCTTGGGGTCTGTCCCACACAGTCTCTAGAGAAGAAGCAGGGCCCATTTGCAGCTTAATACTTGGTGCAATAAAGCAAAGCAGACTCCAGAGGTCTGCAAACTCTGGTCCAGAGGCCAACTCCAGCCTGCTATTTATCTTTATATAGATCGCAATTGCACGAAGAATGACTTTCACATTTTTAAGTGGTTGGAAAAAAAAATCAGAGAAAGACATTTCAAGGCCCATGAAAATGCTATGAAATCCACATTTTGGTGTCCACATTTGGAATAAAAGGACATCGCTCGAGCACCCTCTGTGTCTGCTTTTAAGATGCAAGTTTGGAGTTAAGGAGTTAAAACAGAGGCCACCTGGCCCACAAAGTTCTCTGGCCCTCGGTAGAATAGGTCACCTGTGCCATGTGTCTCTGGGCAAGGACATAGCACCCTCCCCCAACCCAGGGGTTTCCTCTGCAGAGTGGGGGCTGGTAAGAGGAAGGAAGTACCTTAGCCCGAGACCACACTGCAGGTCAGTCTAGATCAATCATCATTGCCACCATCTCCCATCCAGCTTCCTAAGACAAAGTGCATCCTCCAGCTTCTCCAGGCGATGGGGGGCAGGAGGCAGCACCCCTGGATACTGCACATCTGTATGTGCTTGTGGATCAGAACTACTGCACGAGGTCCTGAGTGGGACCACCATGTGAACTTTTAAAAGCTGGGGTGCAGGCGGGCCGCTGTCCTGTGTCTGGCTTCTGGCTGCCCCTGGGTTCTGCTCAGTGGACACCACCCGTGGGTAAGACAGATGGCATCTGGCCTCATGCCACTCAGTACATTTTCTTTGCCTTCTCTCTCTCTTAATTCTCCTCTTCCTCACTCTACATGTAAATAAATCCTTTTAAATCCTACAAATAACCCCACAGCACAATCATATAAGATCAACTGGGGCTGGGGCCTCCCTGGTGGCGCAAGGGTTCAAGACGCGGCACTATGAAGCTACCCGCAGGCACTGCAGCATGAGCTCCATCCCCGGCCAGGGAGGTGACCTACATGGCGCAGCAGACCTCTCCTGTTTCGCCCCCTGATCCCCTCAGCAATGTGTTTCGGCCAATCTGCCTGTTCTGCTCCCCACTCTGTCTCTGGTGAATGCTCTCACCCCCCTGCACCTCTGGCCTGTACCCCAGTTCTTGTATGCATAAATGAATAAATCTTTTTTTAAAAAAAGATCAACTGGGGTCTATCATGGAATAGAGTTGATGGACTGGTGTGAGTGTCAGGGTGGAGGGACTTAAGAGAAGGATCAGGACTTGGTCTGAACCCTCCAATTTGTCCTGACAACTAAGCTGTGACTGAAATTAGTGAAGAAGGAAAGAGTGTTCCAGATGGCAAGTATTCTAAGAAATAGCAAAGATCATGGGGTGAGAAGGAAGCTGCTCTGATTACAGATTAAGGAAGGACACCGTGGTTGGAGCAAAATGACCACTGGCCTCAGGTCACAGGCTCCAGACCACTACAAAAATTAGGTCACCCTGACATGATGGGCCTCTTGTCCCTGCCCTACAAATGCCTTCCCCAGCCTCAGTTTTCCCAACAGTAAAATAGGTACCTGTGCCCAATGATGCCCCCGAGTTTCAGGTCTACACTGGCCTGGCTATGTGTCCAGCTGGCCACCACGTTTCTGGCTCCCAATGCCCATTTGAGCAAGGGGTTAATAGACCCTAGGGAGTGATGTCCCGTCGACAGGGTTACACCCTCCCAGGAGCACAGCAGTGACGCTTGCCTCTGGTAAGTGCTGCCAAATGCCCCT